ATATTTGATCCGAACAGCACAACACTGGAATACCAAACGGAGAGCGAACAGAAAATATGGCTCGTAAAATATTTTGTCATATTGCAACGCTGCGCTTGTCGGCATGCGGAGTTCGTAGGTGTCTCTAGCTGGAGATATATCAATATTCGCAGACCTGGAACATCTCTTGCGTCAAAAAGTTCCAAATCTAGTCAGATAAAGCTATGTTTAGAAAATACTTTATGGGGCCGTTTTCGATTAAGATTTTAACAATTTTAGCAGCTAATATACAGTTGTTTGCGGGGTGCAAACAACTGCACATTCAGCAGTCTCAGCTGCAATATTTTCATTATGCGAATTAGTCAATAAAGAGCTGCAATTTCAAAATAACTTTTGGAGTGATCATCTGGCACATACTAAAGCCATTGCCCAAGTACTTTGGGACATCTGCGTAGTAGTTGTGTACAAAAACCAAATAAATAGCAGTGTTTTCATTTTCACAAAATAATGTAACGTATGTCAGGCAATGCAAAATAATAGCAGAATAACTTGACAACAGCTGAACAACAAAGATTAAATAAACTTTCAGCAACTAACGGTGTCACTGTGCCAAATTGAAAACTTAATGGAATTTTTAATTGCTTCGGTTAATCCGGGCCGATGGCTTTTATCTCACTTCGTAAAACAATTTATGTATTGGATATGCATAAATTTTTATTTACACACGCGGCCGTTTTTGGGTATTAAAAGCAAACAGAGAAGTGGGTCACTGCAGCGCGCAGTTTTTGTGACCACGCTTTTTGTACCAACAAATTGTTGAAGTTTTCAGATTTGCGTTACGTCATCGTTGGTTTTCAGTTAGACAGCGAAAAGAGATTATTTGGTTTCTGATTGATCGCTTTATACGGTCTCCATCTGAAATTACCTATTCTTAGAATTGTATGATCTCATAATAATTAGTATCGCATTATGTGATCCGATAAAGGTTATCCAAAAACATTAGGCGTTAAAGCCTGGCACTTGGCTGAAACACAAAGCTGTAATGAAAGCCAGGGAGCGTGAGTGGTCAAACAAAGCGCGCTCCAAACGGTACAAGGCTAACATACGTCGGGGTCCGGTGAGCGAGGGCCTTTTGAATTACTTCCAAGTGGTGCTCGCCATGAGAGCTGCATTTAAGAGGCCAAGTTATAAGCATAGCGGGGTTAAGCACCTTGCTTAATCCATAGAGATTTATTCTTTTGGGCGTCCACATACTAGCATCCCTTTTAAGGCCATTCTCACTTGTTTCTATGAACAGATGCATATAATTATGTGATTCTATCACAAATCGCTAAGGGAGTAATATGAGAATCTTAGTCATTTCTGCGTCCTTAAGGACGGACGGACCAAAGTGTGAGATCGTGTCACTTATTTCGGTATGTTATTCAGTCTTAGTGCAATAAATGTAATTCAGGTAATTTAGTGTCTGTTCATTGTTGTTATTTTTTCTTATCAATTCTTCTGCTTGTACTTTGGATTATAGTTCCTGTATTAACTGATTATAATTTTTATTTGGACAGATATTGAATCACGCCACTATCCGAATGCAGATAAAAATATATTTATGAACGGATTTGCACACGTGCCTGGATGCCTTCCTTTGCAGTTTTTACAATAAGATAATATGTAATATTTTTAGCTGTAGATGGATTCAAAGTAATTAATGCAAACGATATTTATATTTAGTCGTATTTTATTTAAAATCTTTTAGATTCCTTAAGCTATGGTATATCGGAGCGTAGATCTACGCGAGACACAGTGCGTTTTTTATTGTGTCTTAAATATCGAATAAAAGAGGTTAATAAATATAATTTTATTACTCATACTAAGGACCTTATTTAAACTAGTCAAGTAATCAGGCATACAAGAAACTTGAAGCCAAAAAAATTCACTTACAAGATAAAATTACCATGAAAATTTATAATATTGCCCGCTACCGCTCAACACCATACCTTCTACCTTATTTCATCCGCCTACTAAACTGTAATCAACGCCGTGCCATAAACTTCCTAGTTTTCACGTAAAGTTTGCAATCTAATTAAAGCCACCATAATTATACGACAACTACTAACGAAGCACATTATTTTTTCATTGAGGTTGACCCTTATCTACCTTGTAGTAGATTTAATACTTTTTCAGAAACTACTCGAGCGATTACATTTTACGGTTAAACGAAGGATTCTTGACATTCTTGATTAATTAGGGACGAAAATATTCCGAAAACTACCTAGAGCTTAATTTAAGTAAAATAGCCAGAAGCAAGACCTAAACGTGATTTAGAGTATTCTTCAACTCAAGTATCCCTATTTCTTGTGGTTTCCAGTCAAATTAAGTAAAAGTCTGAACAAGGAAATCAGCAGACTAATCAAAGATAAAGCTGGCAATACCGATTAATATCACAACTTCGATAGTAATTCCTAACAACTTTTGCTAATCTACTTTCTGTACCGATAAGCTACGGCCACGGACGAACCAGGAAATATTAGAGGTAGTAACCATTGCAAAACTTTACAAAACTCAGGAGTTGTTCCCGTGTAACTTGGACCAATCATGGCGGGAGCTTACTTGTACGATGAGTGCTGTTTGCAATTAGTTTCAGTCGCTAGCTTTAAACTTTTTCATACTTTTTAATATCTGAGCAATAAAACATTGTATTACAAGAACGATATTAATCCGCGCGACGTTTTATTCCCTTCAGCGGGTGCCTGTTATGCAACAACTGGAGTTGGACATTCAAATATTTAAGCAATTTCGTCCCTCAGCGGTAATATTTCAGAGACAATTTGATCCAGATAAATGACTCCGAATTCAGTGTAGGAATTACTTTTAGCCGTGCGAATAGCTATAAGATGCAACGTTTAAAAAGCCATTAGCCATTGACCGTATATCCAGGTCGGCAGCAGTGGAAGGATGTTTGATTAATTATGTACCTCTACGTACCTGATTCTTGAGAATATACAAGTAAATATAAACTCTGATACTTTGGGGAAAAGTCATTTTTTCAAATTATCTATGGATCTAAGGTCGGCCTACGCGTGTTCCCTAGTTTGAGAATACTAATTTAGATAGAAACTATGTTAGATTAATATTAAGACTCCGTTCAGGACACTATCCGTCTGCGAAATTTGCATTTCTTATGAAAAAGACTGAAACTCCTAACTGTAGGTACACTTTGTGGTCAAATCGAAGATGTCCAACATTTGCTGATGGAGTGTGCTTGGAACGGAGTAGAACGTGAGATATTCGTGAAGAAATTAAAATAAATAAATACATTTGATGTAGGCATTATACAATCCATTTTATCTGTACCATATTCAGCGATTATGAAAAAGTATTTGATTTTGGTCCTCCAAGAATAACAATTAATCGAGTGATTCTCTAGAAAATGTAATAGTCAAGTAATGTAAAGTACGTAAAGTAATGTAAACAGTACGATGGGGCTGACATATCCGTGATAAAAGCCCATAAAAAGCTTTCAGATTTGAAAAAAGTCATTACATATTTACATTACGTATTGTTTCAGCTCACATAACTTAGTCAAATCAGGTCTTCCGAAATTAGATCTCAAAAAATCGGTCTTACAGCTCCTCGCGTTAGCAATTTTGATAAGAACTTTACTCGTTGAACCAATGAAACATGTAATAAAGCTCTCAAGAGACCTATATGAATTGACTTAGTACCAAATTTTAAATGAATTTCCTCTCGAAAGTACCATAAACGGTCCCTAAGTACCCAATTACATCGCGCAGACGATATGAGCTTGCAATTATGGCTGCACGACCCGAATGTAATGTCTTCTTTTCAGAGCTCAATGTCTAATTAAAAACCCTTTCAGAAAGGTATTTCTTAATAGATAAATTTTTCCTGAGATATTTCTTCAAAAACCTAAACATTGGAAAGTAAGTTATATTAAGCATTGACATTTAAAATCTTTACAGAACAGAAGTTGTTGAAACTTTAAAAGTTACAGACGTAAATATTAAACTTTTAAAGGTACATCGCTAACTCGTTTACGTAGCCCACCTCTTAACTTTCATGAAGTTTCACAAATAATTATGATATGCTTGCGATTGTTTGGTAAACGCCCGTAAAAGAGATAAAGGATGCTGGAATCCCAATGAATTCTGTTAAATAAAGCTATTCATCACGTTCATGACACCTCTGGGCCAAAATGGCTGTGAAAATATTCTCGCCAGCAACTGTTAATCACTGGACACTTTTTAAATGTCAAAGGTGAGTTTATATGTGTGAGGGGTTCGAAGAGGATATTATGCCCTCCGAAACATAAAAATGATGCAATCCAATTGATGAAGTGAAAAAATATGACATAATAGATTGTTGATGCATCGAAATGAAGCAAAAGATGCTTCAACTGCAAATAACAATCCGCTGAAAGATGGAAGATTTATCGAAAGACATTTGTAAGATCTTTCAGGTTTGTGTACCTATTAAATAACAAGAAACCAATACCTTTTCCATTCTCAACTCCACGCAAAAGTAAATGGTACATACGTGTGGTGAAATCCAAATCGAGCATTGTAGATAACGCAGTGCACGATACAACGCTGAAGGGATTAACCAGACAATGGTACTGCGAAACCTTGTTACGCGCAACTTGTCAGGCAAACGTCAACTTTAATACCACTGACTTAGGTCCCAACTCGATTAACAGGATTGTTTGTTTGTTACAGGCTATTAATGTTACTGCTGGGGACCCTCTCAAGTTATTAGTATTGTGTCATGAATACTGTCGCCAAAATGAATTTGATTACAATATTTTTAATTTATTGCCACATGACTAATTTCGGTCAGCATTTTAATGAAGTTTAAGTTTATTTTTGGTTTGGCGCATCGCTTAGTCACGTCCTGGATACAATGTTGTGCAAAAAATGACAAAAACAAGTCCTAAAATATTTCTGCATTCGAGTTCATTCAACGTTTTATCGTGCTCTTCGTCCAGCTTGCAAGCTACATGAACCTACCTGAAAACTGGGATACTCCAGACAGCATAGATAGCCCCGAATGCCGGCTGTTGGAAGGATGGATCATCCCTATGGAATATATCTCGGAGTCCTCGAATTGCCACATGGTGTACTTTTAGAGTTCAATTGACATTAATAATCTAAACCGAATTAACCGCCTTCACCACTGACAATCCCCGAACAAAGAAAACTCACTCTGATCAGAAATTAAAACGAGATTAAATAGGTTATTCGATAAATATAATTTTAATTGATACCAACTGTGTTTTCTAACACAATTTGAATAAAAACGATCATAATATTAAGCTGATGTGTGGTGATATGCATGAGTAGAGCGACGTCCGCACGGCACGGAGGGTGCGACGCGACTGAAAGTCGAAAGAGCGGTCTTTGTATTTGTTTGTTGGCGGGGTGGAGGGTGGCGAATGGGGGTAGCGGGTGGCTACGTCACAACCGCCCCTCACGCCTGGGCCCGCGGGATCTCTACAGATACTGATATCATTTTTCTGCCGCGGCATTCTCGCTTTCATCACGTTAATAGGATTATGATCATAATCTGACTACACAAGGGATCCAATGTAATTTTTACTTTCAACATTTTTTCCAAGCATGTTAACTGGTACAAGTATGAATTTTAATGAAGTGGTCATTGAACTACAGCAGTTACGAATATAATAATAATTAGGTACAGCTTACACATAGATAAGAAAAGATAATTAGTAACGCCTAATGCTTTGTTTAGTAAAAAGTAGAAACTTGAACTTTATGAATTTACATTAGCAATCTGAAAATGCTTACTAATTTAATACTGTTTTAGGATTATTCTGTAATGTTATATTTTATTACATTTTTGTAATAACCAAAGAAGTTTATTCAATCATACATATAAATCTCAAGCAACTGGAGACATAACAGTTAAATTATATAGGTGCCAAGAACCATGCTTACCAGTTTATTAAAAAAACAGATCCATTTGAAATGTCTGGTAAACTTCGAGGCTAGTTAAAAATTGCAAACAGGACAACCGGAAAAAGAAGAAAAAATATACCTAAGCATGAGTGTATTTTCAGATATTGATATTGTCTGATAATCTTGTTGGTCAGGACACCTTAAAATTAGACTTATCCCACTTAGACTTGTCTTTCAAGCCTCAGCTGAACTACTGTTCAGCTGCTGTAGCTCTTTCGGACCAGCCTGACCCATAAAATGGCTGTAGGGAAATGGGTGATACCCATTTAAATACCCAAATAAAAAAAATTACACTTCTCTTTCTATTATTTCATGTCTACTGTTTATCTTTAATGTAAGATACTGGCTTATGTATTTCCTTTTTTAATAAATTTTATTTAATCACAGTACACACTTTTTGTTGTCAATAAGAGTTATTAACTGCATCATAAAAGAATTAATTTGTGATTAAGTTGCCTGAAAATTAAACTGGTGCTACTAATCTTATCAAAAAATAATAAAATATTTAATTCTATAGATAAGTATTTTATACAGTTGTGGTTATCTAAAACCTGAAGTTTATTATCAGGTAACTAACTAGGAAGTTAAATAGACTTTACTCGAAATGAAATATCTTCAATAAAAACTATGTATTAATGAAACAAATAACAAAACATGCTGAGAGAACTTCCAGTCTAAATCTCTGGACATAGAGCTAATACACAATATCAATTAAGTTTTCTATGGTTCTTTAAATTCTGGAAACTCAGAAAACATCCAGCTATTCTAGCACAGCCGTGAAAACTAATATTGATTTAATTAACATAAAATTCAACCGATATTCTATTACTAAATCGTACCCTTGAGATTTGCCGGTCAGTCCAATTAAATAGAGTATACCAAATTAGAATATAACTAGAAGTACCTAACCTGGGAAGCATACCAATTACTCTCTTGGTACAACGTTATTTCTCTTATTTACATTTCATTTGAACATACAGTTAGCTTGGCTACATTCTAGTACTCACCATATTCTCTGAAGAGCTTCTTATATTCACTAAGATCGTTCTGGTCAAGCCATTCGTCGACCAGAGCACTTTCATCGTCAAAAATTTCAGTAAATACAACTCTAACTAAATATATAAGTGAACACATAAACAATATTGTGCCAAAGTAATGTACCCGTTTATACATGTTTAAAGTTCTTGGTCATAATGCCATCTTCAGTTATATTTTTTAATAAATAAACATTACTAAAATGAGGACGGCCTCAATAATTTGTTTTGATAGTGTCAATGTCATTATCATGTTGTCAAATTTGACGTTGCCGAATGTCCAGTTCCAAAGTCAAGTTTTTGAGCATTAAAATAGGTAAACAAAAAAAACAATAAAAGAGTTTAGGACTTTAAATAAACAAAAATCGTTTTATAACCAATTAACACCAATCCCACTTAATTAAGCGCTTTAATATGAGATACGCCTATAAATAAAGGACGTTTACACTTTGTGAAGTAAATGTCAATGTCAAAAGTTCTATGCACACTTTTCTATTTTTATACGCAATCTGGAACGTTTTGCATTATCGACTTTTTCATGCTTGTTCTTGTTTGCGTAAATCACTGACATCTATGGCGTAGATTCAGCAAACGACAGGGTTGCAAAACTTGCAAAAAAATTACCCTTTGTTATTTACTATTAGGTACTTACTTATACTTACAGACATATAATTTTACTGTGTTTATTTCCTTGCTTAGGATATCTCCTATATAGGTAGGTATACTTATATATATACTATAGTATACTTTACATGTATGCGTAAAGTTATTCAAGCTAAGTATATTTTCAATCCTTCATGGATTCTTTATGTTTATATGTTTTTCAATATTTTAACATATTCGATATTTTGCTTCACTGTCTTCATGTATTTCTTTTAGAATAATTATATTGGCAACACGTCCTAATTCACATTTTACATTCATTCCGGGTGCCACACCTGCACAAAATATTTCTGCGACGCGACGGCCAGTGACATTTTGAAATCACTTAAACCGAACTAATAACGCCGCCAGTACTCTAGTTTGAATACAAAGGGAGTTCTTAAATAAAACGCTTAATGTATTTCGTACTAGTCTATTTATATAAATCGTTTTTTTTTTCGATATCACAAGAAGTGCTCGTAAAGTTTTTGAGCTGCATAAAGCTAGGTGTAAGATCACAAATTACGAAGGGGTCATAATTTTAATTAAACGCCATACACATCGCCTTGTATGCTTCAAATGTGTCATAAACTTCAGATATGCTCATATACAAGTCGTTATATTACCCTTTTAAAATTGACCATTGTACCTATTCCTCTTAACAACTACATTCATTATATAAAGATAAATAAATTGAATGTTACGTTGATTTACTCTTAATTCAATTCAATTCAATTTAAAATGAAATAAAAACAAATGTTTGTTTCAAATTATAATTGAATAAAAAGAATTGTATAAAAATTAAACATTTTTATACAAAAATAAAACAAATCCTCAAAAAAAAGTTACATAAAGTAAACCCAAAAATAAAATAGTTAAGTCAGCTTAGATTTTAAGACTGCCGACTGAAAGGCATTCACATGATTGGCATACACGATGGTGCGACAGGCGCTTAGCGAAATGTGGGGATAAAGGCCATTCCTAACAACACACAAATCGCAGCTAAAACCAGCGCTGTTCAAAATTCAAGAATTATCCATGCATTCCGTCTAAACATACTTAAATGCAAGAATTACATTACGACTTACATAGATGTCGTTCTTATGTTAAAGGTATAGGTACTCGTAAATTCGTAGGAGTGCGATGGAAAAGGGCACTAATTATAAGATTAGGGAATGGACCTCTACGTAGTCATTAAGTCATCTATAGTTTACGACTTGACTTTGAGTCTGTCAGCCAGGGAGCAAGATAGGCCAGTGCCATCGGGTTCCACGTTCAGTTGGTCGACTTTGCTGTCCTTGATGACCATGGAAAAGCGCTTGGCGCGGTATCCGCCGAGGGGAGGCAGGTTGATGCCGAGGTCCAACGCTTTGATGAATGCACCGGTGGGGTCAGCAAGCATGCGGATCTGTGAATGTGTACAAGCTTATTTATACAATTTGTTATATGTATGATCATGTTGCTATTGTGCATGTTTTTTTTCTATAAGAAAATAGTAACCCTGACTTCTTCAAAGGTTTCCTACCAGTCATCAATTCGCATTTCCTCACATTGACCGGACACCGGTAACCGACGTTAGTGGAGGATTTGCCTTCATCAGTTTTCTATTGGCAGTCAAAGGCTTAATGAATTATAAAAAGAATGGTGCCAAATATTTCAGCAACTTGCATTAAATTGTAGGTTTTATATTTACGAGCGAAAGGAAGGTTACACATAAAGCCACAACTGAAGGTTTCCAGCATTCGCTTAAATAATTTAATTAGTTACGTGACAAAGTGAAGTTAATTAAGTTTCCGCCTTTCAGTGTCGCTTTTAGTAATATTATTTTGGTACTAGATAATATTGGCAGTTCGCGACATTGAGGTCGGCACACTCGGTCTGCCGTTCTAGAGGTTACAATATTACGACAAGTCAACATGCGATGGTGGATTTAGCGATTTATGAATGTTGGTATTGTGACATAACAACAACACGAGTATTTCCGAAGTTTACCATTCGTTATATACGTTTTCGTTCAAACCGAACCTCGGGAATCGAGGAAGGGAGTAAAAGAGACACGTTTATTAAAACTAGATCATGTTTGACCTAGATTTACAGTACAATATAGTGGGAATATAGTTTACAGTCCGATCGCCTGTCTTTCCATAATACATCATCACCTATTCATACGGTATGTTTGTGGTCGCGTGGCAGGTATAATTAAATGTACACTCCATCCATATTATATGCATAGTGCAAGCGGTTGGAGCGGTCTAAATTAAGTCCGCACTGTTCTACGATCGATACACTGTGCACATAGTGGAGTCGAGTTCAAAGCCTTTCAATTCACTATTGACTTGAGCTATTGAATTTAATCCAATTTGTAAACTATTCTCCGTTTACTATTTAATACAATTTGTAGGGGCGCAGTTTTAAGATAGTCTGGTACTCAAACACTGGCCATGATCCTTTCTACAAAAGTGCGGTAGAATAGTCTTGTGTTTGCAAGGTTTTCTGTTGAACATGACAACATGGTTTAAAAATTGTCTGGTTAGAAAATAACAATTAACACTGAACTTTTTAATATCAAAATGGATCTGTGATTTAAAATTACCTGGCGAAGAGTAGTACTGATTCTATAAAGTAGGTATACTTTTCTGCCCTAGCTTTTCAAAGAATATGTAAGTAACTTAACAGTATAATGGGCGGTGTATCGATCGTCGTAATTTAGGCTGAATTGCTTGCTTCAATGTCGAACCACTTACATACAATTACCTGCCTACGTATACGATAAATTAAAGAGTGGAAATAAAAAATATAAAATGATTAATATTTAACTTTCAGACAGCTATGTTTCGTTAATTAAATGTAAACAGATATCATATTTTCGGTTATTTGATCACGGATGTTCTTATTTAGCAGGCACATTAGGTACAGGAACCAAATGAAATTCAGTAGCAAAGTATAAGTTATTATACTTTGCTACTGAATTTCATCCAACCTGTAGCGATGTAATTCACTAGCTTTGTCAAACAAATGAAATGAGGTAACTATGAAATTTTAACTATGTCTTCTGATCAGAATTTATCTAATATCCTGTACTAAGTCAGAGGCAGAACTGACAACAGACCTGAAATCCAAGACTGAAGCTTACCTTCATTAAAAAATGTAGCAAATGCTCGGAAATTAACGAGCCACGTGAGCTGCGCCAGTTTACACTTTAACGGGATTATCTGATTTTATGGACGACGTTTAAGCTACGTAGGTGCGTGCTAAAATCCGCAATGTAGCCTTTTCAAATTACATCACAGTACCTAACAAAACGAATGAGTGGGGAAATCTTATTTGAATCTCAGATTAATCTTGATCTAGAATGCTCTTTTATAAGAATTTTGAGTCTTTTAATCGGCTTCAGTGATGAATACTTGGTTGGAATTATTGACAGGCATTCAGACCTCAAACGAGACAAACCAAAAGTCGTAGATAAAATATTTACGATATCAAACCTATGTAGGATTTTATTTCAAAAGCTCGCAGCTCGCCTGCTTTCTAGGCACTCTCGAACTATCTTGAGCTAAGAGCTCGTACTTGAAACCTTGTTTGGATCTTAGCTTTGGTCTACAATCTACACAAAGCTTTGAAACTCTGCCATCACGAGCATACAGAAAGACTATGTACAGGTTTGAATATCGATCCCAATATAATATTTACTTCTGTTTGTGCAAACAAAGCCGGCGAAACTATTGACAAACTAATCTATCATTTCTATACCAAATGGAAACACCCAAATTGCTGCGAAAGTTATTTGGTTTTCTATTGGGGAACTTTCTTTCACCATGTGGATTGAGCACTGATTCTTAACTTGGCTTGGCTACCGGATTTTACCATCGCCAATATTTATTACGAGTGCTCAGCCCAAGATCTCTAGTGCGTAGCTCAACTTAAACGCCGTTGATTCGTGCTCGTGCAGCAATAAATTTAGTCATGGGTTCTTTTTTCTTTTGGCGGTACGATTGATCGATTCAAGGTGATGGTCATTGTCATTACAACCAAGAATCGATATCAGTAAATTGTACAAAGTTTAAAACGTGGCATCAACTTGAATAATTTAGCAATCAAAAGGCCGGAGGTCGTCGCAAGTGGGGCGTATTGATTTCATAATGAGTTCTGTCGCCGGCCACCGGGCCGACCGCTTTTATCGTCCATTATAACTAAACATCTACATTTTTTGGCCATTTTCCCGGTCATTACGTTTATTGACAAATTGAGTGAAAGTAAACAGCTAACTGTTTGCGCGGTCATTTAATTAGGATCATTCCCATTTTCTGAAAAGGGGGAATCCAAGTTAATAGACTATGTTCAGGTTTTTATGTGGCTATACAATGGGTACAAGGATAGCAATTTTTTCAACGATTTGCGTAATTATCTGAAATGTTAATAACACAAAAGGTGGACAACTCTCAGCATTACCAACAAGCTACCCAAAAACATAAAACTACCCACGCAACACCAGCAAGTCAAACACTGGATCACGCGGTCGTTGCCGAGCCTAGTCAGAAGTGTAATACTGAGAGTGACGGAGAATGGGTTGAAGTTAAAAAACGCAAGTCTGGGCAGCGCGAAAAACCGTTAGAGGGTACTGCTGATCCTCTATCGATCAAACTAAAGGCTATAGAAGTACGTAAATACTTTCACCTCTGGAACATGGCTTCCAATGTTGATGAAGTTCGCCAATACCTTTCTCAGTTGTATCCTACCACTACCTGTTCAGTTGAAGAGTTAAAGGCCCGTGGGGATTATAAATCTTATAAAATCGGTGTTCCAGCTGAATTTTGTGCCGGGATTTATTCTGCCGAAATCTGGCCAATGAATGCTAGAATGAAGCCTTGGATAAATTACAAAAGGAACAGCCCAAATCCCAAAATAAACGAACTACAAAATTCGTCCTTTCGTGAGCCCTTTCGTACATCCGCATGAGAAACACAAATCGTTTACGTAATGATAATGGAATAGAATCTATTTGATTCTATTTAATAGATAGCCTTAGGTGTCTACTAATTTTGCTAGGCTGCGTAATATTAATATGCATAAACTCTGGGAGTGGCCTAAATACAAAAACTAAGACTAAATTGTTATCTACATACTTCACGAGCCTGAAGTGGCAGATAGTATATTACTTAAAATTGAGGTAAAATTTTATGGAAAATACTTGAAGGATTCTCATTCGGGTTAACAAACTTATGGCACGCAAACCATAGGCCACACGCGACGACGCAAAAATAGTCGCGGCATACACAAGGTTTCATTATAAAATATGACAAACTTATTCGAGGTTTCTTTGAAGATATGAATCTACTATTGGCATTCTTGTCATGGGGTTTTAACAATTCCGAATATTCATAAATAGTTAGGAATTGTAGTGTGGGATTGTTTTTTTCTACAGAACATTAAGTTTTTATTTTGATATTTGATGGGCCGACGTAAGCAATGATGTGGTCTACTATGGAGCATGTCGACCCATAAGCAAAAGTGACAGGCGAAAACGACAAAACAGGTATTAAAGACCTCTACCACTACAAATCTCGCAGAAAAAAAAACATAAACAGTTTAATGCACAGATATAATCTGTGGTAATGCCATACCTATTAAGTTTTTAGTAGAATATACTTTGATACTGTGTTCTGATTAGGTACCAAGTCTTTATTTATTTACTTAGTTTTCAATGTCATGATTTGCAGTTTTGTTGTAATGTCGTCATTAATTTGCAAGTTTACCTATTGCTACACTATCTTTTAACAAATCATGAGGTATAAAAACCTTGTTAGTCAAATGACTGCTGAGTTTAAAGTACTTGGTAGCATACAGCCTGCATGTTGCTTAAAGTATTATTATTGGAATTTAACTATACATATAGCAACTAGCATTGCAATGAGATTTGATCTATGACACCAAAAAAATTAATAAACATGAAACCCTATTCTCTAAGTTTATGTTATTCTATATTTTTCAGTATAATACTTGGGAGGGTCATATTGGCTGCCATCCAAAATTAGCCTTTGATATTAGCTAGTCTAGAGTATCAAGGGTCCCTAGATGTTAAGAGACACTCAGCTTCTGAACTAGACAACAAGATTCAAGTAGATAAACCTCGCTGATGTAATGAATTTATTAAATAAATACCACTTATCACTCTGCCCACTGACCTTGTTAACATTTACTCAGATAGGGTGTTGTCAAAACATATTACAATAGCTCTCTAATTTTACCATACTTAATTAGTTATTTTCTATTCCTTTTATTACTTTAACAAATTAATTAGGTATTATGTTTATCGGCTTTCTCACATAATTATTTGACGTGGAACTCGACTAGTTTAAACAATAGTTTAATATCTAAGTTTAATTTCATTATTTCTTCTTTCTTTTAACTATTATGTTTACAAACCTTGTCTAATCTTATGTATGGTGAATTATTTTACTATCTATAAATTGTTAAGTAAAAACTGCTTTCTAATTAGAAAATTTCTTTTATGAGCATCCTTAGTAAATCTATTTGCACACACTTTGAACTAAAATACACATAACTATAATTATGTATGGTAACTACGGTAATTTTATTAGTACTTTCCACCATTATTGTGATCCACCATTATATTATAATAATTTTATTTTTCATGCTAATAAACATTATTGTTAACAAACACAATCAATAGTACCTAATAAAATCTCTAATAATGTGTGTATAAGAGTACTACACTAAAATATAATTAATGAATGTGTTATTCTACAAATACATAGTTAACTACTGTTGCCTACTTGACCTATGACATTATGTTTGTAGTTAGCAAAGTAGGGGATAATATCAGTTCCCTTATCACAAGGTTAATGCTGACAGCCTAGGACTAGTTTCTAGAAGACCTAAGCCCCACTATTCATGATGTAAGAAAATAAATATTTTCAAACATGTATTAAAGACTTTGGCAAGTTTTACCAAGTAATTAATATACCAAAAGAAATTAACTGCAGCTCTTACCTTTCCCTTAGTGTTGTGTTGGAGCCCCCAGGCTGCCATAACATAGGGATCGTTGACCGACACGCACACGATCTCGTCTACACCATCTGACTTGATCTTGTCCGCATTCTGCACGTAACCCGGCAAGTGGGTTTTCGAGCACCCCGGGGTAAATGCACCAGGCACAGCAAACAGCACCACTGTTTTCCCCGCCGTCAAATCACATACGTTCACTTTGTTTGCTGGAGAATCCTCAAACAAATCCGTCACCGGCAGAGATTCACCAACCTAAACACAAGGAAACATTATTCATTATATATCACATAAGCCGGCTATTATATAAGCTCCAAACACAAAATTCTACAAGATTACCTTTATGGGTGCCATGGCTATGTAAGAAGTGTGTAGCGCTCGACCGATCGCTCGCCTTGACGATGCTGTTGTAAGACGAATAATAGTAGTGCCGGTAGGAAACATTTGTATAAGCGGGTTATGTATTTTTTATTATCTTCGTTTTATCGATCCTTTCAGTCAACAGATGATAAATTCTACTGACCTTTTGAAATATGAAATAAGACAGATGTTTTTTCGTTCGTCAAGCCTTCTTAAATCTTCACTTATCGACAAATATAAATATAATTATCATTAACGATACCATTTATGGCTCTTTAAGCCTCATTTTCTAATGTTCTTTAATTACTTTCAGATAAACAATAATATGTATCCAAATATACGAACGTCAATAATTTTTATTTTCCGAACGTATTCCATAGAGGAAAGTTGTCTTTCACTAGACGGGACATTTAAAAATATGTTACCAGTAAAAATTAATCACCACTAAGTGGTAAAACAATCATCAATTAAACCAAAATAAGAGTTAAAACAGAGTGCAAAAGTATCAATTTTATGTTTGTATGAGATATCGATAAACGTTTATATTTATCTTCAAACTTGCAGTGCATTTATGTATAGCTTTATGAAATGAAAGCGAGACTTTTATTAAAGGTAAATGTGTTAAGAGCCATAGCAACATTATTTGTTTATGGTTCATTTTCAGTCAAGCATTCCTACGACTTTTGCTTGTTTGTTAATTATTTCGAGTTTTTTAGGTCGTTTTCCACGTTTTTAGATATGACAGTGTGTGATATAAGTGTTACGATAGAGTGGCGCTGATATTATTAAGTAAAATACCGGTCTATCAACATGGATGCCCCTACAATGGACACTATTTACCAGGCCATAAGCGCCTTATATGATAACCCCAACGTTGGCGAAAAAGAAAAGGCTTCGTTATGGCTCGGAGATATGCAAAAATCCGTAAGTGTCTACCTTTTAATCATGATCAGTTTGTCGATGTAGTTATGTCAATTTAAAAATGCTGCTTATTATAACCTTATTTACAGATACATTCTTGGAAGATAGCCGACGAACTACTACAAAAAAGAAAGGATATGAATTCTTGCTACTTTGCTGCTCAAACGATGAGGTCAAAGGTACAACACAGCTTGAATGAGCTACCACCTGATTCTCTTGTGTCCCTAAGAGACTCTCTGGTGGCACACCTGGAGCTCACATCTCCAGAGACCAGTGCTTCAGTGCTCACGCAACTCTCTCTAGCATTAGCAGATCTAGCTCTACAAATGCCACAATGGCAAAACTGTATTGGTGACCTAATTAAATCATTTTCCAATAAAAATGATTTTGCCCTCCTAGAAATATTAACTGTGTTACCTCAAGAGATTGACTCACCTAGTTTAAAACTTGGTGAAAATAGGAGGGAAGAAATTAAATCAGAATTAAGGTCAAATGCTCATATGGTAAATATATTCTTAAAAGAAAGCATCACAAACTTCCAAAACTCCCATGTGACATTAAAAGTGATAAAGTGTATGACATCTTGGATACAGGTGAAAGCAATCAATATACAGGAAGTTCCACAGAATGCTGTCATAGGTTACAGTTTACAGATTTTAAGGGATCCTAAGACAATAAATACTTTGCATGATGCTGCATCTGACTGCATCACTGCATTGCTGCACTGCTTAGAGGAGAATAACAACAATGACAATATTGAAAGACTGTTGTTTGAGAGTGTGTCTGGTCTGGAGGAGAGCTACCACATGGCTGTGGCTTATGAGGAGGATGAGAAGGCTACCAACTATGCAAGAATATTCACAGAGCTGGCTGAGACATTTTTAGAGAAGATTATCATTTCTATGTCTGGAGGATCATCTCATTTTGCCTTGAGGTCCTTGGAATTAGCACTAGTGTGTGTTGGAAATCATGATTATGAGGTAAATAACATTATCAATATAATGTATTGTTTGTTTACTTAAACAAAGTAATGGGTATAATATAATGGTGTATTCATCGGTTTGATGTGTCTATTGTATGCATAATATTCATATAAACAATATGTGAAACAATATAATGTTAAATTATACATATTGTTATAGTTAATACAGAATACATACATCAAACTCATGTTTTTACAAAGTAAAGTTACAAGTTTGTACGAAAGTGTTGAGTCTCATAAAGAACAGTGACAAATTGATGCAGATAACAGCAGATATCATTTAATATTTCTCTTGAAATACAAGCCTTAACAGAATTAGCAATAATCTGAAATATTAATCAACAGGAAAATAACAGTAAATAATGTAAAACTATACTTCTAGAGCCATTGTTGTGTTGTGATTCATCATATAAATATTTTTCTTATTCATTGCAACAAAATATTGATACATGAAATGTCTGTAATATTTTTTACTATATTACATCCCTACTCCTGACTGAAAATAAACCCACATGATAAATACACTAACAATGTATTTCAATGAAGTGTTTTTAACTCGTCAAGCACCGTCATAGACACAATTAAAGAACAATAGGTTTTGCGGTCACCGGTGACCGCTTGGTGTTTGACAGTTTAATAAGCTTATTCTTGTTGTAAAATTGTAATTTAGAATTGTATGTAAATATTCTAATACTTGTTTTAATGTTCCACTTCAAGGTAGCAGAAATAACTTTCAACCTATGGTACCGGCTGTCAGAAGAAGTGTACCAGAGAGACTACCAGCCCTTGACTGATGCCTTCAAGCCGCACATAGAGAGACTGATCGAAGGACTAGCGAGGCATTGCCAGTGCGAGCCTGATACACAACAGATGCTGGATGAGGGAGATGAGTTCTATGTAAGTGGAAGTAATAGTCATGTTATTACAAAACCTTCTTTTTTGGTGACTTATTCTATCACCAAACTGCTGGCTGAACATGGGAATAATGATTACCTTCTCTTTTAGTTGTTTATAATTATTGTCATTACAAAATCATAAAAAATGGCTAAAATGATTATTGTTGAGCTGGGTAACTTAATTCAATCTTCTCTTACAGGAATTCCGCAGTAAAGCAATGGGTTTGATTAAAGATGTGGTGTTCATAGTGGGTTCCAGCTCAGTATTCCGCCAAATGTTCTCGGTGCTCAACCCTGATATCACTTGGGAGCAAACTGAAGCAGCACTCTTTGTTATGCAAGCTGTTGCTAAGAATATACTGCCGTGAGTAAACTACTAGTTACTGATGACTTAGATGCAAACTTACTCCATTCTTTTGTGTTGCTAACATACTCTTAATTTCTCAGGGAGGAATACGAGTATGTTCCGAAAGTAGTGGAAGCAATCCTGTCGATGCCTGAAGGCACACACCTCGCTGTCAGGAAGACGTGCATCCTCTTACTAGGAGAGTTATGCGAGTGGATAGAACGGCACTCCGAGTGTCTGGAGCCTTGTCTACAGTTCCTCACCAGAGCCCTACATGATAAGCAATTGGCGTACTCTGCCGCTACAGCGCTACAGGTGAGAGATATTGACATCACATATTATCTTCTTTGTGTTCATGTTTACAATTTACACTTGGCTCTAATTCTTCCATGTTAATCATCGTTTTTTGGTTTTACTAAAGATCCTGTTATCTTTTCCAGAACATCTGCCGCGCCTGCAGGTCCCAGGCGGCCCAGCACGTGTCGGGCCTGCTCCGCGCGGCCGCGGCGGCCGACCAGCTCCCTCTCAACGCGCACGCCTCCGCAGCACTCATGCGGGCACTCGCGTCTGCTATAGGACGATTGCCTAATGAACAGGTACCAGCTTACCAATTGTCATTATTATTACTAACTAGAATGTTGTGCCCCTCAGTTAAAATATGTATTATGTATCTTTGTGTTTACCTTTAGTTTCTAACTTTAAGTTAGGCTAATAAATAATAGTCACAACTAAACAAGAATATTGACAATAATTTATTTTGTTTCCATAGCTAAAACCCGTCTACATAACATATATACTTCTAGCTAACTGTCGCAATGCGTGAGGCCGTCGGCATTCAGATCAACGGCTTGTCGGAACTGATGAAGTCGAATGTGGAAATAACCAAAGGTACGAGTAGCGACCCGACCGTCTGGCTGGACCGCATGGCGGCTCTCTTCCGCGACGTCGACGTGCAAAGCTCACAGATCACCGACACGCATCCCTGCGTGCCCGCCTTGTCTGATGCCTGGCCTGTGCTGCAGGAAGCACTGGATAAGTAAGTAAAACTTCCCATCCCTTTTTATGTTGAAATTGCGTTTTATTTTGGTGTTAATCCTCATCGAAGGTAAAGGTGAGCATGTATCATACAAGTGAGTGTGCGTTCAAGGCCCCTGGGGACATTTACGGGGTGGGAACAGCACAACCTTCTTCTTACTAATACTAGATTAGGTGGAACCGAATGTGTACCAAAGAATGACAGGAATAGGTTGCTCAGCAAGCTAACAACTGTTCCACATTCACATAACTGTAATCAGTGGTAAATATGATAGGGTAATATGGAATCACATTTAATATTTTTAAATGTCTACACAAACTAACAAACTCACAGCACACACTCCACAACCCTTATATAGGTCTCTCAGACAAACAAAGGTAGACTGTAACTGATACAACCACAATCGAACACACCATCAACCTGTAGACATTATTGTAACATATGTACTAGGGAAATAAACAACTATGTCTTTTATTCTATTGTGTGTTCAGGATCTCTGTATATTAAAATGAGTTATGTAGACATTATAGGCTTATTGATTTGAGCATGTAATGTAGGTACGCTTTGGACGGCCGCGTGATGGAGCGTTGGTGCCGCTGCGTCCGGTTCGGAGTCCGCATGGGCGGGCGGCGCGCGGCCGGGCTGGCGCCGGCGCTGGCGGCGCGCCTGCAGGCCATGTACCGCGCGCGCCCGCACTCGTGCGTGCTGTACCTGGCGTCCGTGCTGCTGGACGAGCTGTCGGCCGAGCCCAGCGCCGTGCCGCCGCTCGTGCAGCTGCTGCAGGACGTCATGCCGCGCGCCTTCCATCTGCTGCAGCAGGACAACGGACTCAAGGAGAACCCTGACACTGTCGATGATCTCTTCAGGCTATGTATCCGGTTAGTTCCTTGTAGTTTCACATAATCGAACGAACGACCGATTAATGATACAAGGCTCTAAATAACATCTGTTTCAGAATCAAATTGGACCTTCTCCTTCGTTTTGAATACTAACAATATTTAATTTTTCTACAGATTCTTACAACGTATCCCACAAGAGTTCCTATCATCAGGTGCATTTCCGACAGTGATGCAATGTGCCTCACTGGCATGTTGCCTCGACCACCGGGATGCGAACTCCTCCGTCATGAAGTTCTTGTATGACTTCACTAAGGTCGCCAACTCAACACGCTCTGACAAACAACAGATCAAAGGTTAAAATAAACCATCGTACTAGAAAACTAGTCATTGAAAAAGTAGTTTAGTGGTGCCTAGGGTCTATTATGAAAGTTATATGATTCTTTTGTTTACTATGTTATATATTAGAGTTTCTAGCAACAAAACACAAACAAGAAATGTATATTTTACAGCTCTAGCAGACAATGCTTTAACAACATACGGCGAGGAGCTCACGTACCGGTTGATGGAGGCGAGCGTCCTCCACCTGCACTCGTACATGTTGTCGGAGGTGGCCGAGGTGATGCTGGAGCTGCTGGAGTGGCAGAAGGCGTCCAGCCGCGACTGGCTGCAGCCGGCGCTGCATCGACTGCCGCGCGACCGCCCCGCCGTCGCCACGCAGCAACAGTGCTGGCAGTTCCACCAGTACGCAATGAGGTCAGTGTCATTCATGTCACCAGATGCTAACAGCATAGATATTAGAAGGAAATTGTTCCTCCTCCTTCCTTTTTCTTCGGGGAAAAAGTGTTCTTCCGGATTATATTGTTGTCTATGGCAATACCATTATATCCACAAAAGAAAAAAAAACAAACTTGCACATTTCTAATCATATTCATGCTTCTATGGCTCGTACACAAAACTGCGATGCAATGATACGCAACGCAAAAAATTACGACACTAATTGCTGCTATGCGATTTCGCCAGGGTGACCATTCCTTCAACGACCGTCAACCGTACTAAACGTATTTTAAATTGAAAACTATAGTCAGAATTTTAATTAGATTCCAGATTTGACAATAGCTACTGTCATTTTGTGAAATAATGATACCACATATAATAGTATAGTGATGAACACAAAAATCGATAAACAATCAGTGTGTGTGTTTTATAATAAATGTTACAGAAAGTGACAGGATAGCGATAGCGATGACGGCAACAATTTATAAAATAACTTATTACCATAATACATCTATCTGTTTTATTTGTCATGTTCCTTCATGATTACATTTTTTTATTTATTTCACACACAATTATAAAAAAGAGTTCAGATCGTTATTTAATCGTCAAAACTAAATTATCGGTTCAGAAATATTTAATTTCCTGATATACTTAGTTTACGAGGGTAAAATTATAAACGAAAAGAATCGATCCAGAAATATTGCATTTCCATATCGAATAATTTCGCAACGTCACTATTTAGTACTTGTCATTACGTTGCAACACTGAAATTGTCAAATCTGGAATCGAATTAAAATTCCGAGTATAGGTCGTGACATGGATCGTAAAAAGAAGTGTGCACTTCTATTATTATTATTGCTTAGGAGATAAAGGAAAAAGAAACGAAGAAGATTTTGGGAAGATAAGGTGGTGATGCGCGATGCGAATCAATTCGCAAGTTCTTGCGAAGCGTAGAGGGAGCTCGCACATTTTTGCGATGCGAGGTCGCATCGCAGCTTTGTGGACGAGCCCTTTCTCAATGACTGTTAAGATTTCATTACGACATTATCCTTTACATTGTCTTCTCCACCACATTTATATAAAACTTGTTACTTTGTTTACAGAGCGGAGAAATGCAAGGAAATGACTCGTCTACTGCGTGACTTCGCGAGATTGTATCGATAGAATACAGATTATATTATAAAACATTATAATTAAACCAAACAACAGGACTGAGACTGAGTGACTAACCTTTCGACCTTAGTTCAGTGTAATAAAGTTTTGATTGAGTTGTATCAAGTATGAGACTAAACTAAATTAGCGAAGTTATTCTAATACTTTATTAGATAAAACTATGATATCTGTATTGTGTAGCAACTTCTAACGCTCTGGGTCTGTGGCGATTTGTGATCATAAACACATCACATAGTAATTCATGTGTCAATAAACTTTAATGTTTGTGTTTTACTTACAAGTTATTTGTGAAAACTGACGTTTTTAGGTAGGTACTAATTTTTTTTTTTACATTTTTTTAACTAATTGTAGTATGTTCATATACAATATTAATTAGTATGTATGAATATAAACAATTCAATTTATCATGGTAATAACTAAATTAAAATCTAGTTAGATAATGTAGTTAGGCAGCTGATGTGCTGAGTATTTATTATAACCAGATTCTTAACTCTTATAACTGACACTCGTACAGTATGAAATTATGGGCTTGGTTTAGGTTTTCTTTGGATTGTCTTTCTGTCACAGTCGTCACAAGATCTGAAGTGTATTTATCATGATATTGTACTGTGTAGTTAGTAGATGGTGCAGTTAGCACATCTGAGCAATAATAAATAATTAAATACATATTGTGAACTTAAACAATGTCGTAGGTACGTCGTATTGCCTGTTGCATTTCTTGATTACACTCGGTTTGATGTTGCGTTCTCTATAGTGGCAGAAAAAATAAATTATTAATTTATAAAAACGTGAGAGTTATGACGTAATTTGACCATTGTGTACTACACAGTCAGAACTATTGTAAAATGCGTATTATAGTTACGAGTTACTAAAATAATATACATGATATTCCTAATGTTGATGATATTTTCTTATAACTGAAGGGTTTTCAGTTTATCATTCTGTCTAGCTTATTCAGAAATGACTATTAGAGGACGTAACAAAACACATGCTAACATGATTTATGATCAAACATACGTCGCCGTCGTAACGTCCGATCAGTAGGTAAGTATCAACTTTGGATTGATGCAGATATATTTTGTTATATTATACTCACTTTTATTTTGAATGTGATACTACGCATTGAATTGTAAATATTTATTATAAATGTTTACTTTTACACACATCTTTTATTTACAAATTATAAAACATTACATTTGATCCTTATTTTTATTACATATATTAAAATGGAGATTATAGCAGAAATAAGAAACAGGTTTGTCATTGACGTAAGAGCGAGGGGACTATTCTAAAGAGTAATATGATTTAATGAACAAAATTAAATATATTAATACTTTTAAATGTCTATATCAAATTAATTTCCCTCGTTAAAACCTGTTTAACACGGTGTTGATAAAATTGCGTCAGTTATGCCAAAAGAAACATACAAGTGATGAAAATATCGAACACTATTTCTTCTTAGCATTTTTAGGACTTGACAGTGTGACGAAACTAACGCGCCGCGGAGCTTTCGGGCTCGGAGCAGACTTAGCCGCTTGGTCCTTTACATCAGTCACTTTAGCTTGCTTCATAAAATAGTTTTCTACTGAACTTTTAGGAGTAGTTGGCTGGCTTGTGCTCTTGGCATTACTACCAGTAGGTGTGCCAAATAAGGTTTTAGAGATTTCTTCGGTCTTATTAGGTTTTGGAGAGCTCTGTTTAGGACTTTTCTCTGTTACAGTTTTTACTGATGTTTTAGGTGAATCTGGAGATGTTGATGTAGATTTGGCTCCCTCAGTTTCCTCATAAACTAATTTAATGTCTTCACTATCATCTACAATCATCACTTCTGGCTCTTTAGGTTTGATAATTTCATTATTACTGTTATCTGACCACGATGGCATAGCAACTTCTTCCAGAACATCTATTTTGACTGGTGTTTTTGGTTCTGGCTCAGTTTTTTGTTTCTTAGATTTTTCTGGTGCCTTGAACTTAATGAATGAGTCTATCTTGCCTGCTGATTTTGTTTCTTTGACTTGTGGTGTCTCTACTTCTACTTTTGGTGTTTCCACTGGTTGTTCTTCAACTTCCATAGGTTCTGTAAAAGAATTGGTGTTTAAGTATACCAATTTCATAAAAATTAAGTAGTTAAAACTCAAATACTGTGATTAACTAAAATCACGGGTTACTCACGTGAATATACTGAGAAAAGCTCTAATAGTTTCGAACCACAGAGGGGTTCTTTCTCATGCAGCGTGCGCGCTGAACCACAGAGGGGTCGAAACTAGTAGAGGTTTTCTCAGTATATTCACGTGAGTAACCCGTGATTTTAGTTAATTTAGTATGTCTCACTATAGTTATTATAAAAACAAATACTGTGATATTCACCTGGTGCTGGAGTGGTGGTAGGTTCGGGAGTTACTTCTTCAGGCAGTACTTCTCCCAATTCGCCCTCAGCGAAGGTGATGACAGAGCAGTAGCCGTCCGTGCTGGATGCCACTAGCGTGCGGCCGTCCCGAGACCATGTCAGGTCTGTCAACCTGAACAAGAAAAAGGCAATTCGTAGCAGCGGGAGACTTATTATGAGTATTTTGAATCTGGTCACAATACATTTTAATAATTCTTTCATAAACTACGTTTAAAAAAGCCAACATCAGCACCCTCTTTTTTGAAGTCGGTTATTGATACATAACTTTCTCAGTGTAATAAACACTGTTCCGAAAACCGCATCAAAATTGGTTCAGCCAATCGTGGACAAACATACATACATACAGGTCAAACAGAGAATATCCTTTTTTTTAAAGTCTGTTGAATAGTTTCAAAGGTCATACCAACCAACCTTGTGTAATGTATATTATTGATGAGAGCTATGGGTGTTTTCTGCTGCGTGTCGTACAATAATACCGATCGCTTGGTTCCAATGGCGAGTATCATACGTCTTGTGGCTGGGAAGGCGGGGGCCGGGCCACCCTCGCGGAGTGCATACATGCGAGGCGACCAGCGCGTCACCAGTGCTGCTTCACCGCATGGTAGGATGCATGCTGGACTGAAAAATAATGAATATCGTTGCTAAGTCGCCATCATCAATGACGCAATGATGAATGCATGGAAACGGTGAACATGATCTCTTGTTATGTCTTCATAACATCACGCCTTATCACCGAAGGGGTAGGTACAATGTAACACCCACTTTACACTATGTTATGAATGAGTCCCTTGTAACAGGGGATAAGACTATTGAGGAAGGAAGTGAATTATTATAAAGGAAAAATTATTTTTAGCAGTGATTATTTTGTGTCTCATTATTATATTTGTAAGCCTTTGATTTTTTTTTAAAGTTTTCAATTTACATGGTTGTTTAATTAAATCAGGGAATGCAAACTCCAAAAAAAGTAATTTTACTTACACTTTCAAAGAGTATCTTGTGTAGATGTAGACAGCATTAATAGGCTTGATGTCCACCTTGCCTTGCTCAGGCTCTATGCGGCCTGATGGGACTGCCAGTAGCAGGCCATCTGGACTGAACTGAAGTCTCCTGTAATTAGATGAAAGAGATATTGTGTGAAATACAAATAGAATTAATTTAATTTATTTCTAGCATTTGTCATGCTTAGCACAAATGTGTTTGAACAATACAAAACAAATTTGTTTTTATAAGTCAAGTACCTACACAATTTTGTGGTATAACCTACTATATAAAAATGATTCAGGTTTGCCTTCTTGACGCTATAACTCCAGAATGCACAAACCGATTTCCACGGTTTTACATTCGTTGGAAAGGTCTCGGGCTCCGTGAGGTTTATAGCAAAGAATGTTACATAAAACGAAGCCATCTGGTGGCGAAACGGAGCTCGCCGGGTTTGCTAGTGCATGATAAAAATAGCTTGGTAACCTGTAGTAAGTTTGTAGTGTGTCATCATGATATAGTCTGACTTTGACATCATGTAGAGGATGTTCAAAGGGGAATGGTAAGATTGCCTTACTGCTGCGGGATGTCACCTTCTTCGAAGTCACATCAAATGTGCGGAATACTCTGGAAAAGAATAAATACCACACTATTAAAGTACCCAAAAATGATCAATAAGAGAGAATTAATTATTAGGTCTTTGTTAAATAAGAACAGAAATTAATTGTAAATACTGTGTTTTTACCTTTAGCTAGTTTTACATTTCAACCATTATTTTCTTTTTTAACAACACTGTTTATAGAAATATTTAATAAGTTTGTAAATCTTTTTTCACACAATAAAAATGATCTCAGCATATCAAAATTAGAGCTTTAGTTAGCAAATCACTACAACTCACCTATCTGAACTAGCAGTAGCTATCATTTGGTTTTTGGGGTCCCATGAGACTCCCTGTACAAATCCTTTGTGGTCTGTCAGTATGGTGCTGTATTTCCCTTTGTTTAGGTCCCAGATGAGGAGTTTGTTGTCTACTGAGCCAGAGGCAAGGTGCAAAGAGTTGGCACTCCAGGATATATCTAGCACATCCTCCATGTGACCTCTTAATGTCTGGAAACAGAAGTTGATCAATTAAATATTGAGGAGGAGCTGTGGAGTGAATTACAGCTGTGTAAATAGAATAATCTTTACAGTACCTAGCACACATTATATTACAATGAGTAATCTTATTAAGAGTTCTCATTGCATAGAAAGTTTGGATGTATCATTGCTATCACAGTATGTAGCTACAGTTAAAGAGAATACTAGGCCTTTCTACACTATTGATATCTATTATAAAGAGGTCTCTGTGATAAAGGCTTCTTGTCCTTGGATGATTATAACGATCCAATTCATAGTAAATTAACCTAAACAAATAACCTACCTTGTGAATAACCCAGGATTCCTTGTACTGTTCTTCACTCTGTTCCATTACTGGCGCTGGTTCTTTATCAGTCTTCTTCCAAATAAATATTATAGACTCATCATCTCCTGATGCCAAGAACTGGCCATTAGGTGACCATCGTACCACATTGACAGCCTTTTGGTGGCGAGTGAGGTCAGCTGCAACTTCTAAGTTTACTGATCCTGTATCTGTTGTTGAAATGTACCAGATCTGAAAGAGTAATTAAAGCGTGTAAAGAATGGATTCTAAGATAAGTGCCTATCGTTACTATTGTTGATGATTAATGCTAGCGTAAATAGGTTGTTTGGAAGAAAAAACAATGTTCTTATTTGAAACTTCGAAAACATAAGTCGTCTAAACTTGTAGAAAAGTCATTGTTCGGTCGTTATAAAATATAGTTTTTATTTTAGTAGCGTAAAAGTTTTAATGTTAAGTGTGTAAATCATACCAAAACATGAGAATCTGTGCCTCCAGTTGCAAGTCGTAATGGTTCCGTAGACTCAGCCTTTGGTTGGAAATCCACACTCAGTACAGGATCTCTGTTGTGCCACGATATTTCAGGGATAGCGAACTTCATATTTTACTTAATATGATTACGTTACAAGTAATAAATAACAACTTTGAGCAAACGTTTCAAGGAGCACTTGTCTATTTTGGCGCTAAAATTCTGTTTTCTTTTTAATTTGACATTTTTTTGACATAGTCGCGGAATCGTTTTGAAACTAGTCGATCAAGACTTGAGCCCTTTTTACATCCACACTTTATACTTTTTATGCATTCCTAATGTCTAATCTTGTCACAACTATATGTCTGAAATAAATATTCACAATAATTTTATTGCGGTTGCGATGTGGCGGAAAAGAAGTGTAATAAAAAAACTATTTTTTTGTTGCCAGACTTCTTGACTTTTATGTTGGCAATAATTTTTACATTGTCAAATGAAAACTGACAGCGGCTCTTTCTTTCTTTGACGTTTGTTGATATCGTGCAAAGCGAACGCCAAAATGGTTTGTGTTTTATAAAATTTTATCCAATTGAATCATAGAATACAGTAATAAAATCACACTAATTTATAGTGGAAATCTTAAGTGATGTGTTGACGATGTAAACAGGAGAAATATTTCATGGTGAACTTTCAAAATTTCAGGTGAACGTACCTAAACAGCGCAGGACCTACTGCAAAAAATGCAAGTGCCACAAAACTCACAAGGTGTCTCAGTACAAAAAGTCCAAGGAAAGGCACGCTGCTCAGGGTAGGAGACGTTACGACCGTAAACAGCAAGGTTATGGTGGTCAATCCAAGCCTATCTTCAAGAAGAAGGTAAGTGATCATAACCTATGAACCGGGTTCTTATCACTATAATTATTACTCCAGTACGTGTTTTGTCTCTACTACTAGATAAATGATTTAAAAAGAATGAAGTGATGTAGGTACAATAACCTCGAAATCTAGTTGTTTATATTGCTTGTTATGTATGAGATTCGTGTAAAATGTACGTTTGATCTCATGTTTTCGTTACTCACCGTCATAAATAAAATTATTGAGTTCATTTATATTTTTTTTGCAGTAAAACCTTATTCCAATGACCAGTTTGTATAGTGTGGAACATCTATATGATATACTCAGTAGTGTTTGCTAAGTAAACTGTTACACCAGAAACAAAAACATGCAGCCATGATATTTCTCAGGAATTACATGTACTCTACTTAATATAAGCTATTAATTCTCTGAACATAATTGAACTATTTGCTTCTAGGCGAAAACCACAAAGAAAATTGTGCTCCGTCTTGAGTGTGCTGACTGCAAAGTGAGGTCACAGGTAGCACTTAAGCGCTGCAAGCACTTCGAGCTGGGAGGAGACAAGAAGAGGAAGGGACAGATGATTCAGTTCTAGGCTGGATAATAAATAAGTTTAACTAACTTTAACTTCTTTTATTGTTCTATCCCAGTCATTGTAAGGTTCCCCAAAAGGTTTTACAAAACCTATCGGAGTTTCTAGTAATCTAACAATACAACTATTTTTCTTCTTCAATAGATCTCTTTCTTCTATCTCAATTGTTGATTTTTCTTTTCCTGCTTTATGTATTTACAGCTCAGACTTTGAAAGATATAACATTATTTCAAGTAATTTCAACCATTTGTAGTAGGTGTTACTAAATATTGTTACAACCCTAAATCAATTCTTTCATTATTGAGCATGAGCGGCACCTAGTCTCAGCTGCCGCTCATGTTATTACAATTTTATCACTAGCAAATAATACATGATTTTTAAGAGAACATTTTATTAAAATTATACATAAGCTTTTTATTGTTTGTTTCTTACTACAAACAAGTAACAAAATTTTTTCAAGCTAGCTAGCTCATAATATTTCTTATTAGGTATAGGCCATAATTGGTAAAAACTAAATTATGTATTTTATAGATTCTCTAGCCATAAATATTTGAGATTATTTCCCCAAGATCTGATCAAGAATATTAGGATCTAATCCTTCCAATGATAGTTTTAGTTTTACAGCCTGTAATGGTACTCCAACTTGTACCATTTTGACAAATCTGTCATACTCAGGATGTGAAGATTTGCCTTCTACGGTATCTGTGGACTCGCTGGGAGTTTCTTGTTCCTTTGTATCTTGGACAGGCACCATATTCTGTGGTTCTGCTGCTGGAGTTTCTTCAGTTGATGTGGTTTCTGTGACTTCAGCTGGCTTTTGAAGTAGTGTTGGTGTTGCTGTGTTCAATTCTGGTATGGATGAGAGCTGGGAAATTAAAGGTTTAGTTCAAAGAATGGTTTTGTATAATCATGGAATTACTTTAGAACTTTATAGTCATCATCATCAACAGCCGGAAGACGTCCACTGCTAGACAAAGGCGTCCCACAGGAACTCTATAGTAAACCCATATAATAAACTACTATGAGTAAGATAAAATTGTGCCCGGTGTATGGCAATAGGCTCACCCCCTATTACATGGGACTCATAACATAAATAGTGAAAAGTGGGTGTTACATTGTACAGTGGCATAATGTGCACCACTGCCTACCCCTTCGGGGAGAAAAAGCGTGATGTTATGTTATGAGTAAGATAAAACAAGTATTTACTCTGGCCTCTAATAAAACCATGGCAGCATTCACTTTATCCAGTTTCTTCTCAAAATCCATAAGCTTCTGTTCACATGTCTTCATGAAATTGTTCAAAAACTGCACATTGGTAAGCACAAAATGATTCACAAATGCCAGTGTCCGCTTCTGTTGTAAGGCTGCCACCTACAAATTGATTAGAAATTATTATAAGTACTTCCTCTGATAGTATTAAAATAATTTAAGTTTACAGTTGAGGATATAGGTATTCGACACCGAACTCACCTTATATAAATCTACATTAGCAAGTTCCTGACTGATCATAGTTTCCTGTAGAGTCATTTTTTTTTACAATGAGAAATATAATATTATTGCTGTTATAATTTAACTTGCAAACTATTATCTATTGCAAATCTGTAGAGTATTATACTGTTTCTTTATTACTATATCTAAATATAAATTATCACAAATGATGATAGCAAGTTTGGGAAACTTATGCAACTATTCTAATAAATAGAGAGAATAGATAGAGAAAACTTTCAGATTGTAAATTAATTACAAAACAAATCCAACTCAAACATGAATGTCACGAAATCGGTTGTCAAGTGTCATTGCGTTTTTATTAATTTTTTTCCTTGTATTTACTTTGTAGTTTCCGAACGATTTAGATTGTTTTTACCATTATTATTATTACACATTAGAAAATACCGATAATTAGGTTTTAAAGTGTATCCATCTCCCAAGAAATATTTGTAAAACATTTATACATAACAAGCTTTCAGTTATTTTTCTTATTTCAGATGTCTCCATTCTTAAAAGCCCGTGTGTCAATCACGCAATGACGTTTTACATGTTTTAAAAATACAAGTATTTGTCAACAATAATCAATCTCGTGTTTATTTTACATTTTTACGAAATAGTTTGGTTCATCGAAGAAAATAATCATAAAACATGTCCGGAGAAGTTGTAGTAGACGCGTTACCTTACATTGACCAAGGTTATGATGACCCAGGCGTCAGGGAAGCCGTAAGTATAGGGACATAACCTTAAACATTTCTCACCATTAGAGATTTCAAGATATCTTTAGATTCTTTCTGTTTTAGGCCCTGGCTATGGTAGAAGAAGAATGTCGGAGGTACAGACCGACTAAGAACTATTTAGAAAATGCTGGCCCTGAGCCCAGTACAGCATTCGAGACGCCAGCTTTACAGAGAGAAATGGAGAGGGTGCAGCAACGTCTTCCCATGGAACCACTGTCTATGAAACGGTAAGTAATAGTTAGTGTTTAGCAATTGTAATACCTCAACTATTCGAATTAAGAAACATTTTTGGTCAGCATTTTTTGGGTCTTGTGGTTCATATGGTTTTGAGTAATAAGTTGTAGTTAAATTATTTCAGTATTCTCTTCTTGTTCAACTTGAGAACAAGAATCGGATACTGAAATAATTAAAGATTAAATTATATCACTGTAATAAAATTCAGTGATTCACATTTCAAAGAGGTAATTCAAGAGATTTCCTTTTTTTAAGTTTCTCTTGTATCTGTCTGTACCACTAGCTAACCATTAACTTCTAACTTCATAGTTATGAGCTGCCCCCACCTCCAGCGGGACGTCTGGGTGAACCGACAGCCTGGGCAGAGTCAGTAGACAACTCCCACGCACAGCTGTCTCACCAAGCTATCAGAGTGTTGAATCTGGAGCTACAATTACAGTATGGCTCAGAAGCATGGCGATCCTACCTCAACACACTGCAGGCACTCGTAACACGGTCACAGAATGTGCATAGTCAGTTAAGGTTAGTATAGCTTTTTTTAATATTGTTATTTACCTTCTTGATATTCCAATTTTAACAGACTTCTCACAAAGGAGGAGGTTATATTTAGTTGATTCATACCTTGAACTTCTAAATTTTAATAGATATATTACATGGGACTTTATGGGAGAACATGTTTTTTGTTTTTTTTTTTTTTTTTTTTTTATAATTGATGGGGCGACGTTTGACCACTATCTCACCTGATGGTAAGCGATGATGCGGTCTACGTTGGAGCACGTCGTCCCATAAGCAACCTATTCACTCGGGCCTTGAAGACTCCCAGGCTATACCCTTCAGGAAATACAGACTCTGGCAAAGAATTCCACTCTTTAGCAGTACGCACAAGGAAGCTTGAAGCGAAGCGCTTCGTGCGTGTGGGCGGAACATCTACCATGAATCGGTGACGCTTCGCGGATTGTCTTGTGGTACGATGATGGAAAGGACTAGGGGGAATTAAGTTGTGCAATTCCCCCGCACACTCCCCGAAATGTATCCGGTAGAAAACCGAAAGGCTTGCAACCTTACGCCTGTGTTCGAGGCTTTGAAGCCGAGCCTTTACAAGCGCATCATCGTCGATGAGCCTCCTGTTTAAGCATGTGTAAAGTGAACCTGCACTTAGATAACACAAAGTATTTTTAATACATACTTATGTACTAAAAATTCTTTGTCTTTACATTTTCTATTATTATTCTAGAAAACAAATAGCATCTGTGAACTGGGAGCGAAAACGATCTCAAACTGCGAGTGGTGCAAGACTAAGAGCCTTGAGAAGACGATGGGCGCAGCTTGTATCAGACAACTACCGACTTGAACGCGCCATTATGCAGCTCGAAATACAATTACAGAAGGTAAATATGTTACAATTACGAGATTCAGAAACTATTCGAGGAAGTATTCTTGTTTAGGCTAGGAAGAAAGGTGTTTAAGGCTAACTGGGCTTGTTATCTGTTCTAGGCTAAAGGAGAAGCACCTGCTGATGATGGTGAACCTGCAGACCTGGAATCTGTCAAGAACCTGCCAGATAAACTTAATTCCGAAACAGAGAAGGAAGTTCAAAAGAAGATTGAGGACATGTTTGCAGATTAGATTAAAAACCTATGACATTTTGTAAGAAATGAATTCCTCAAAAATATAATTTGTATTCTAAAAAAATTAGGATAAATTTGTAATTATTTAAGTACAATAAATAAGTTTGAACAATACCTATTCTTCATGATTTATTTAATAAACATTGAGGTGAAAACGGACTGCTTCATCCCCATGAGACAAGTGTGCTGTAGTGTATGTAATAAGAAGCAGTTCGTGAAGTTTGTGGTTGGTAAAGTGAAATTTTATTGTTATTTCTTGCCATGACCTTTATTTCAACATACTCCCACTTATAATCTCCACTGTCCACTTACGTGTGGTCGTGGTGGCCCGGGGATGTTTAAGACGCCCGATTCTCATGCATGAGGGTGCGGGTTCGAAACCTACCAACAGCAAGTACCAATGTGACTTTTTCAGAGTTTTAGATACTTTCTAAGATTATCTAGACACCACTGACAAACGATGTCGGAAAACATCGTGAGGAAACCTGGACTTATAATTTCTAATTATAGGTTTGTAATCGCCAACCCGGATTGAGCAAGCGTGGTAATAATGCTCAAACCTTCTCCGTGTGGGAAGAGGCTTTGCTCAACAGTGGGCATTTATAGGCTGTTGATGCTCATACATAAAAATGCATTTAAAATATGGGTGGTAATAAAATTACAAATCAGCCACTTGTATCATAAAATGTAGCATATGCTTGCTAAAATCACAGAAAAAAACAAGATGTTGGAATTGATGTCACTGTGCATAAAATAATTAATAGGCATGTTTTTATTAATTATTATTTCTGAACGCAGTACTATTTGCTAGGTTCGATTGTCATTTATTTGTCGTGTTATGTCACTTGAGTTTTTATTTTATTTAAAAATGGCGGACGATGCTTCCAGCAGTAGCGGTTGCGCCGGCAATTTAATAGATAACTCAATAAATCAAGATGAGTTGATTATGAAACAACAGCGTGAGATAGAGAAAGAGGTAAGCTTTACAAATGGTATACTGTTAGTGCAACAAATCCACTATTTTCCCTAAAGTTTAAAGATAACTTTGACATTGTGTTGTGTTTGTTTTGCAGATATCGGAAACGATACCGCTTGTAGGCGAACTTGAAGCATTGTCGTCGTTAGAAAAAGAATATAACGAGGATCCCGTGTACCTGTTAAAAGTAAAAGATTTGTCCTCTAAATATAAGTATATTAGGAGAACGCGACCGGACGGCAACTGTTTCTTCCGAGCGTTCTCATATGCGTATTTAGAACATCTATTGACGGATAAGAGTGAATTCGATAAGTTTTATGAAATAGCGAAGAATTCCAAGGAGATTCTTGTCGCCTTAGGTTTCTCACAGTTCACAGTGGAAGACTTTTACGAAACGGTGAGATTTTTTTATTTTTATTTTTGGAGGTTAGTTGTGTTTTTGTTGTTGTGAGTAATGTGTGGATAGAAGTACGTCTTTGTGTCGGCGTGAGACAAACAATATTTTAAAAGACTGCCGTCTTGTATATATTCTTGATGGCAAAGTAGCATATGTAGGTAAATGCTATGCCCAGAGCAAGAAGATAATTAATTCTGTAATTAGAGAAACAAGGTTGGGCTTGATAACTAATACTATGACATACTAATTATTGCTGACACCAATTGACTGGAAAGTTTTTTCTTTCAGTTTATGGAAGTGGTACAGCGGGTTGGGGAGCAAGCAGGAGGGTCACCAGACTCTCTAGAGTCAGTGAGAGCCGAGTTGCATGACAAGTTCAACAAACAGGGCTACTCAGACTATATAGTGGTGTACCTGCGTCTTGTCACATCGGGACAGTTGCAGACAGAGAATGATTTCTATCAGAACTTCATTGAGGGACCACGCACTGTGACTGAGTTCTGTAGACAGGTATGTCATATATATTGATAATTAATATCCACAACATATTAACTCGTCGAGTACCGGTTTTGTAGACACAATTATAGAACAATAGGTTGCGGTCACCGGTGACCGCTTGGTGTTTGACAGTTTAATAATGTTCACTACTTTTTTAAATACACTTAGATTTCTTGTAGTGATGATTTTATAAATCAATAAATAAGATTTTATAATAAGAATATATTTGTTTACAGGAAGTGGAACCAATGTACAAGGAGTCTGATCATATTCACATAATAGCACTGAGCAATGCACTGAATGTTGGTGTCAGAGTGAAATACATGGACCGCGGCGAGGGAAGTCAGGTTAGTAAGGTACACATCATATTGCATTATAAATATTGATTCTATTATCAGCAAACTACTTAGCAACCAAGGAAACCGTGGATTTGTCATCATTGAAGTAGAAATTGTAACTTCCAAGGTATGCAATTTGTCTACCAAGTCATCTGGTATAGAGAAGTATGCAAATTCACACTTTATGCAGTTGATAATGTAAGTTGAACTTGTAGGGCTTTATATGCTTATTGTTATTGCCAAGCATGTTGCATACACTTATTTTACTGTAACATTTTGGTGTAGTACTTTGTTGTGATCTTTAATTTAATAAAAGGATGATTTATGCTAGGCAGAACCCGGCCCAAGCCAGGAAAAGGTTGAAATACAAGCAATCCATGTGACAAGGGGTATGAATGTTTTGTATCATATTTTTTTAGTTCATGCCATTGTTTATATTTGTGTGTGTTGCAAACAAGACAACTCATTATAAAGGTGCTGATAAAGATAAAT